GGAACGAGTACTTAGAGTCGCTTTCCCTGTACGAAAAGGAACAGCTGTAATTGATATACTTAATAAAGCTAAAAAGAAAGTCTTGCATGCTCACCTGTAAAGGGAGCAAACTAATAAAGTTAAAGGCTTCTAATACTGAACTTACGTTATAATGGACAGTATATAGTACCCTCTTATAGTAGCAATACTTTTGCAGTGAAAAGGTAACTTATAAAGAAAAGTTAAGGGTGTTAGTAAAAGATTGAGGCCCACTCTACGGAGTGGGAACCCCAACCCTAACCCTAACCCTAACCCTAACCCGAAACCTAACCTTAAAAAACCTTGGCGAACCAAAAAAGGAAACCCTAAATTTCCTTTTTTGGATATTACAATGGCCATTGTTTCCTAAAAAGGATATATTAATTTCCTTTTTTGAAATAAACAATGTACATTGTTTCCATAAAAGGATATATTAATTTCTAAAAAAGGCAACCCTAGCCTTATTAGGTAACCCTAATCGGAAACGATAGAGTTAATGTAATTTAAAATTAAAGTTTAAATTACTATTTTATATCGAACAATCGAATATAAATAAACTTTAAATTAAAACCGGTTTAATTTAAATAAATAACCCTAATCGGGAATACCTATTTTTAGTACATTAAAAATTGATGTACAAATTATTTATAAATTAATTAAAATTAATTAACAGATCGGGTACCCGCATCGGGTATTCCGAAATATAAATAATTTAACCCTAAACGGAAATTAATAAATGAATTTTTAATTAAAATTAATTAAATTATAAATTCGTAATTAATTATATTTATAATTAATAATCGTATGACGTACAATTTACATTAATTTAATTAAATTAATTAATTTGGTGTATGATTACATGTGTAATCATAATTATTTAATTAAATTAATTACTAAAATTAGTAAAACGATACTAAAAACTAATTAAAAATTAATTTAGTAAAAGTATTACTAATGTCGGGTGTCCTAATTAAGTATATCCGTTGTTTTTCTAAGAAAAACGTGTTGTTTAAGTTGTGAGCTTATAGAATTTTAAAGTTATAAATAGGGACGGTTTGTCTGAACCTGTTGTTTCTTTAAATTCTTTAAGCATAAGCTACGTCTGACTGAAGAGTCCCAATAAGGACGAAATCGATCTTAGACTGCTAGCTCGTTAGTA